AGAGAGAGAGAGTGTGTGTGTGTGTGTGTGTGTGAGAGAGAGAGAGAGAGAGAGAGAGAGAGAGAGAGAATTTTTTTTTTTAATATTTATTTTCTAGTTTTCGGCAGACACAATATCTTTGTTTGTATGTGGTGCCGAGGATCGAACCCAGGCCGCATGCATGCCAGGTGAGTGCGCCACTGCTTGAGCCACATCCCCAGCCCCTTAAGTATACTTTATAACTACCCTAGGATTAGGACAGAAGTGGTACCTAGTAACTGAAAGCAGCAGATGGTGAAAAAAGGAAGGGGAATGAGGGAGGGCACTGGTAGGGGTCCTGCATAACAAGATTGTTGAGGAGCAGAGACTTACCTGACCTCTAGGCATTGGCTAAGAGGCTTAGCCAATGGTTGAAAACATTTCAATGGCTGAAAACACAGTTGCCACTATATAAGCAGTGGAAGGGGCAGCAGCCATCTCAGGAGAAAATCCAGGTTCCCTTAAGTAAAAAGGTAAAGGGAACCTGAAAGGAAACACAGTACACTGCTGGAGAAGAGGCTGAACTTGTAGGAAATATCATTTGCATAAGTAAATAGATGATGTGGTAGACAGATTTTAACATAGACCCATATGATCCCTACTTCTTAATGTTCATACCCTTGTGTGGTCCTGTCCCCTTGAGTGTAGATGAGACCCGTGATTTGCTTTGGGCCTTGTGTGCTTATGTGTACATGATTATGTTACAAAAGACTGTAACCAACCCAGGCTTAGTGACACCTGTTTATAGTCCCAGTTCAGGGTTGAGGCAGAACTTCTTGAGTCAGGGCTGGCCTGGAGATACAGTCCCTTAATTTTTTTTTTTTTTTTTTTTTTTAAAACAAGTAACCAGTGTCCTGATCAGACTGTCCGGTTTACTGATTCTGAAGAAGCAAACTGCTATATTGTGAGCTTCCCTACAGAGAGGACAACATAGCAAGGAACTGAAGGGGCCTCCAGGTGACAGCTGTCAAGGAACTGAGGCCCTCAAACTTGCAACCTGCAAAGAACTAAATGCTGTCAACAACTACATGAGCTTCGGAACAGATTTTTTTCCCCAGTAGAGCCTTACTTTTCAGAGGGCCTACCTAAGCCTTGCCTGGACTCCACAGAAATTATGGGACAATAAATGTGTTCTTTCAAACTCTTCTATTCATGGTAATATTGTTATATGGCAGTAGATAATACAGATGGAACAGAAGACTTTCAGTGATAGCAATGTTATCCAATTTTAAAAACTCTTCTGAAGTATAATACTAAGGAATCACATACTGATATCTTACCAAATCATTTTTTAATGATCTGTCAGCTGACAGATCTTCCTTCAATTTTGTTGACAGCAAAGAATTGGAAACATTGGACTTGCAAAATAATTTAATGCCCATTCACTAAGGTGATTTACTTTCTCAGCACAGACACCAATTTTTGAAATATCCCTTTGGATTTCCCTGGAGGTTTTACAGTCTTGGGTCACTTTAGTAATTGGTGAGAATTTTGATTTTCTTTGCTAAGGTGTGAGGACAGTTTTGAAAGATGCAGTGTCCGCAGCTGCCTTCTCAARTTGAGCAATTTTAGAAAATAGTACATATGATAGTGGACGATCCGGAAATGAATTCCCTTAGAGGGAACACTAGTTTGAAGATTATATAGTTTTCTGGTAAAAAAGGGAAAAGAATTCAGGCTGTGATGGAGAGGACAGAATGCGGCAGTGTGTGTGTATATAGTTGTTTCTGGGCAACACAATCTAAGAAATGACTTAGAACTATCTAAATTAATCTTGGAGGGACCCCGACAGAATTATTTATTGCCAGGTGAAAACAAAAGAAACAAATACCCCCCCCACCCCCATATAATTCGTGTGTTTTCTGGAACTTKTAAAAGATTTATTATTACTATTTTTTGCGTTGCTTAGGATGATCTCAGGCCCTTGAGCATGCTAGGCAAGCGCTCTACCACTGAGCGACACCCCCAATCCTGAAATACAAAAGAAATGCATTCATCTTATGAAATTGCCAATACAGAGAAGTGTAAGATCAAAAGTAGAGTTTATGGCCTTCCCCACCCAACAGCAACCTGATTAATAGGAAGTGTAGAGGTCCCCCAGGTCGCTCCCAACAACCATTTACATTTCGTGACACCTGGCAAGGTTTCTGAACGTGTAATTCCTTGACACTGTCCTGGGCACCTGTCGATTTTATATACCGTTGGAATTCGTGATTTGGGGCTGGTGGAAAGGGAAAGGGATGGAAGATACAGACGGTAGCCAATTTCTTCCCAAAATAAACCGCTACGACTACCCCGAGTTAGTGCTTGGCTGTTAACGTCTCTTAAGTCCTCGCAGGTCTTCGAAACAAAACCAAACCCCAAGAGGCCGTGCCGACCGCTCACCATAAGCAACTTACTGGACGCCGAGATCTCTCGCGCGGCTTGGGTACTCTTTTGCAAAGAGATGCCACGCTCTGATGACCAACCCCTAGAGCCKCCTCTCAGTCCACCCAAACAGCGCAGCGCGCTCGGCCAGGGCGGGTCCTGAACCGGACTCGCAGCCGCTCGCGGACAGGCGCTGTCCCGCGGGCGCCTGCGCAGAGCAACTCTCCCCTCTCTCGGGGCGGGAGGCGGGGGCAGCCGGGAGAAAGGAGAGCTGCAGGGGAAAAGGGCCAAACCCTGAAATTACCCGGATGTGGTCTCCGCGCGCGCATGCTCAGTGTCTTCTCGACAAGTTGGCAGCAACAACACGGCCCTGATCGTCGTCGCCGCTGCGGTAACGGAGCGGCTCGGGTGACTGAGCCCGCGTTCACGCCCGCCCGCTCTCCTCAGGAGGGTCTTCCCACCCTCGGTTCGGCTTCGCTGCCTCCCAGGGGCAGGAGCGAGTGAGGGGAGTCGGGCGCCCCACGACAGAGAGGCCCCCCGCCGCGGGGCGGCCCGGGAGCTCTCGGCGGCCCGGCCCGCGCGGGCAGCGGCGCGGCGCGGAGGAGGGCGGCCTGCTCCGGACGCCTCGGGGCGGGGGTCGAGGAGCACTCCCGGCCGCCGGGGGAAGCGACGGGCGCGGCACGTCCGCTGACGAGCAGCGGCGGGAGAGTGAACTCTCCTCGCCAGCGCCCGAGCCCAGGTAACCGCGCCATGTCCCCTCCTCTTCCCCCGCCGGGCCCGCGCGCCCCGCCCGCGGCTTCCCCGCCCCGGGGCGGGCTCCGGGCGGCGGCGGGGAGCGCGCGGGCCCGGCGGGTCCAYCGGGAGCGCGAGCGCTGCCACCGAGGTGGATCCGGCGCCTCTAGTCCCTCGGGTTTCGAGGTGGGTCCTGCGGCCCCGAACTCCGCTCGCAGTTTGTCGGACTATCTATTTGTACTCGAACGGGGACTCCTGCGGCAGCCGCAGCTCCTCTTTGTTGTTCTTGAGTAGTTTCGCTGTCGCCCAGGCGCAGCACGTTAGGTCAGTTGGAGTGTTTGTTGCCCAAGGTCTAAATGAAAGTAGTAAATGGTTTATCTTTTTAATTTTCTTTTTCTCAAGCAGAATTTTGTTTTCTCTTTGTCCCTTACTTTCTCTTTCTGGTTGTGTCATTCCAGTTTACATTTCTAGCTTTGATTTGTTTACTTTTTGGGTATTGTGGGTGATGGCGGCATGCAGGAAACATTCTTAGCACCTTAACCGAACCTCCTCCCGTCTCTAGTAAAACGTGTCTTCTAATAAATGACGCAGTTATCTTATTGTTAGGACCACATGTACAGAGTGTAAAAGTGGTGTAGGATGGAGGGCGTTGGCTGTTAGGATTTCTCAGGCTAGATTTCAAAGATAGGAGTGTGTATAGTTAAGTTGAAAGGTTCCTTTGCAGGTGTAGAGAGGCTTCAAAAGCCCTGTCGTAGATTGATTACCCATCCACACCCCCCCCCCCAGAAAACTTTTTTTAAAAAAGACATTTAGTTTTAATTCATTTTGAAATCAGTTTCTTAGTGCCTTTAGTTTTTGACCATAGTTTAAGGTGGAATTGACAGGTTTTTTTTTTTTTTAAAGCGACAATAACTATAATAMGATAAGAAAGGAATCATTTTAAGCATCCTGAATTCTACATGCTTGTAGTCTTGGCTAATTTTTAACAACCTTTGGCTTTTGCCAGATTTAGCATCCTTTTGGTCTCAGTAGCAGCTTGATTATTCCTTGTTTTAAGAAGTAGGTTCAGTACTTTTTGCTGGCAGAAACGATGTAGTTATAATTGAAAAATGCAGGAATGCATAATTTCATAAAGTAATTGGAAGTTGAACACTGCTTTTGAATTATTTTTGTTGTAAATTTCACGAATTGTCTTTGCCATGCCGTACTAAGACTATATATTTCAGTTGACATGTAGTGTATGAAGTTCTAAAGTGTACCTTTTTCTTTTTTTCCCTCCTGTAAGGACTTTATGGAAAGTTCTGATACGATTAATACATGATACTACAAATTGTAATTAACATTTTAAAAATGTGGTTTCTACTTTTCTACTTACTGTTTCTTTCATAATGCTGTTATGATTTTGTTTCCTTGAATGTGTCTGTTACAGAACAAATGTAGTAGAGGCAGAAGATCAAGAATTTATGATTTGTTGTAGCATTAGGTGGTGATGAATTATGTAGGTTTAAGTTATTGGAATTAAAACTAAAAGCCTTTCTAGAAAAAATTGATGTAACATTTTGTGAATCTATTAATAAAGTGGCCTTTTTTTTTTTTTTTTTTGCTTTCAAGGTTTTTGGGTTGAGTTTGCCTTAAAGAGGCATTGCATCTTTCTAAAAAATTTTGCAGTCTACTTCTCTGTTTACCTAAGTACCCTCAATGTAAATCTTGAGGTTAGAAACAACTGCAAATCTGTTTTAGAATTAATGAAAATTTGTGCTGAGAAAGTCACCTTGAAATATTTTGCAATAAGTTTTATATGGACCATTGACCTTTTATGTTGCCTTTGCTACTTAAAGCAATTCTGCTTACACTAAAATGCATCAAGTCTTTTTGGAAGTCAGTGCTTCACTGAAGCTACATTTTAGTTGAGGTGTTTCTCTGTGTAATTTCTTTTTCTGCATTTCCCTTCAGACTCCCCCTGCACTCTCCCCCTCCCCCCCAAAAAAAGTAATTAGTAGACATTAAACTAATTTATGCACCTCAGCCACATTCCAGCTTTTCCATTTGAAAACCCCCCATCCCCCCATCCTCCCATCCCCCCATCCCCCCATTGAGCCAGTGTTAGTGACATTGTTAGACATTATTCTAATTGAACTGAATTTCTGGGGCCTGTAGTTGGGCTGTTAACTCTACAGAATTTTCAGGGTTCATTATATTTAAAAGGCATATTTAGTTTTGCCAAAATATTTTGCCTAATTTGATGAGAACAAATGTTATTTTTCTGTTGTTTAAACTTTATCTATTTTTCACTTTTATTTTGTTCATGCCCCCCCCCCATTTTTAATGTAGTGATTTTAGACTTTTTTTTTTTTATATTGGAGATTGAACCCAGGGGTACTTTACCACTGAGCTTCATTAYCTGTTTAGTTTTATTTTGAGAAAGGGTTTGCTAAATTGCTGAGGCTGGCCTTGAAGTTGTGGTCCTCCTGCCTCAGCCTCCTGAGTTGCGGGGATTATAGGCCTGTGCCAATACATCTAGCTCTTTAAGCATGTTGTAGTGGCCATTTCAGTACTTGTACATATTTGGGTTTCTTTTTTCYTTAGAAGATTGTGTTGTTAGGTAGAGTTTTGTTTTGCTTAAAATGATGAGGAATGGTGACTGAAGTGACCCTTAATCATGTATAAACTAGTTGGACAAAAATGGTTTTATTGATTTGTTTTCTATGCTAATGAAAGGTAAAGGAGCTAGGCCAGGATAGTGCAGCATTTTGTACAATTTTGTTAAATTACCAATTTTTAGGCTTTTTGCCCAACAGATATGTATAGATAGTTTATTTGAGCTACTTTGAGTATGATATTGTGTGTATCATAATAACGCATGATAATTAGATTTAGAATTTTTGCATATTTTTTTTCTTATTTTAAAGATGTGTAATTTGGTGATGACTGAATTCCAKTTTCTCAGGAACAAGATATTTTAGGTTGTGTCACCTTGATATTATTACATSGTGTAATTGGCATCTAGAAAATTTTATTTTAAACACAAAAGTTAAAATTAGGGTAGGCTTTCATATGTAAAACTAAGATGGTAGGTGATCAGAGTCTTATAATTTAAGTCTTGGTGCAGCTTGGTAACTTGGCGCAGCAAATTATAGGTTAGACAGGTAACTGGTTAAGATGATCTATTATATCTTAATCAATTTAAAGTTGGTTATAACCCAACGTTAGAGATTGAACCCATGTCCTCATGATGCTATGCAAGTGCTCTACCAGGGAGCTATATCCCCAGCCCCCCCCACCCCCCCTTTTTTTTAAACCCCAAGGTTTAGGGCAGTGGCTTTCAATCTTGGCTGCACTTTGAGATATTTTTGGAGAGCTTTACAAAACACTGATATCTAAATTCATCTCTTAGAAATTTTGATTTGGTTGAACTTGGTTATTTTTGAGAAAGCTCCTGCTAAGTTGTTAGTTGCTGAGACTGACTTTGAATTTGGGGTCCTCCTGCCTTGGCCTCCCAAGCTGCTGACATTACAGGTGTGTGCCATCCTGCCTGGCCAATTCAGGTCTTTTTCAAGTAAAAATGTATTTTAAAATTTTAAATTGAATTAAGGATATTTAGCAGTGATATTTGCTAGTGAATTTTAAAGCATTTTATAACARTAGGTGGCTGGGTGATGTAACAATTGAGTCTTGACTGAAAGAATGACAGTAGTGCTTAATGAGCTAAACTAAGCAATGAATCATTGAACATAACCACACTAAGTGCATCTGTGCCATAGATATCCCTTGCTAAAATTAGTTGATGGAATAATTATTTGTATATCGATGTTGAAATGAAGTGACTGACCAATTGTAAAGAAAAATGACACGATTTCTTTGTGATCATGATATTGTAATATGTTTCACTGTCTTTTTGGTAATTTGTAGAAGTGAAGTTTGTAGACCAGATAAGTGCCTTGTAAAACTATTAATATACTACTGTTGTTTCCAATTACATATCTGTGTGAGGCACATTTTCTTTATATACTTTAACCAAAATGCCATCACAGCGGATTGAATGCTGAAGCAGACAGGAGAATCTAGCTGTCTTCTCTTATGCTAGACACAAGAAATTTGAAAGATGTAAGACAGTGTCACTCTTATTACTAGTTTTTTATTTGTTTTGGAAATGATTTTTCATAAAATTTATTTGTATTAACATATAATGGGTTTATTATTTTTAAGTAGACTATAAAATCAATACCTAAAATTTTGTTTTAATTTGTAATATGATAAATAGCAGTGTAATTTACATAAACAATAACTAATTTGGATCCTTAATAATTATGAATGTAAACAAAGGGAACCTAGACTAGAGTTTGACAGGTGCTGTTTTAAAGTAACTTCTTAAAAAAAAAATAAAACTTCTATGTTGTCAACTAAATTACTGATTAGGAATGTTAGTGATTCAAATTTTTTGTTTAGTTATTGTGTATTAGGAAACATGTAGCAGTCAAACTTAAGTAAAAAGGGGACATTTGCTTGGCCTGGAAATAGAGCTAATTTCAGACTGCTAGATCCAGAGTCTGAATTAATATCAAGACTTGTCTGATGGCTTTGCTTTCCTCTCTGTAGTTTTAAATCTCAGGTAGTTCCCAGGCTAACTACTCCCAGTTTCAAGTTCTGTATTAAGAGGTCTTCTTCCATCCCCTTCTGTAGTTCCATCAGAAGTTCTTGAGCTGTGTCATCTGACTTGGAGTTCTTTTCCATCTTTAGGACAACTGTGCCATCAAAGGTTGGCTCTGGAGAGTCAGATTGGGAATTGTCCCACCCGGCCAGATGGGGAGACTCTTGGAAAATTAGACTTTTGTTACAAAAGAGGAAATTATGCTGGCAGACAAAAATAGACGCTAGCTTTAGAACTTTTAGCAACTTCTAATTTATTAATCAGAAAGTGATAATTTTTAAATAAGGTTACTTAAAGTAAAGCTTGTATAATGACATTTAGATCTAAGACTCTTGGGTAAGGAAAAGCATACCTCTCAA